CAATACATAAACTATACTCCCTCCGTCCCATATTAGATGGGCACTTCCAACTTTACACGGTGATTAAGAAATCATTAATACATTGGAAGACTTCACCATTTTGCCCTTTGTTTATATCAATGCACATTGAAATGAGTTACAAAAAATACACATACAATATAGGAATGGTCATATTAATTGTAGGGGTAAAATGGAAAAGAATTAATTAATTCTATCCTAATTTAATAAGTGCTCAAATAATATGAAAAAAATATTTTTAGTAAGAATCTCATCTAATATGGGATGGAGAGAGTAACAATATAACTTTATTAATGTTGGGCTCGGGCAGCGCCCGGGCTTTCTTTACTAGTTAAAATACAAAAGTGAAAGAAAACAAAAAATACATATAGATGCATTAAAAGAATGGCAATACTACAGTGAGTACAGTACTTGTTTTTTTGTTTTGTTTTGTTATTTTTGGAAATAATATATATTCCGTCTTAATTACTCAACAAAAAGAAAAATTATTATTTTGCTAAATGCCATAAAACAAGATGAGAAGATTAGGTAGGACTAAAGCGTCAAACTACACCGACACAAACACCAAAAAATCCAATATTAAATGTGACTTGTCACTTTTTAAAAAATAAATAAATAAATTGTTTCGAGAGGAGTTTTTTAAAATATTATCTAAATTAAGATCGATATAAATTAATAAAAAATTAACTAAGATCAACGTATACATACAATATAACTTTCTGATAAAATAGTGTTACTTGATATTTCTTGAACAAGCATAACTTAGCCTGAACCCATAATACTAACACTCCATTAATATGCTTTAATGCGTTTTTAACGAAACTCAATCTCAAAAACACCTTTCAAAACACTACTCTATTTGCTAAGAAAGAGCAAAAAAGAGTGAATGATGAATTTTATGAGTAGGTACATGAATACTTTGCATTAGGCAAAAGTTTGAATATTCAGTTGATTTATCCATTATCTATGTTGCTCAGACTCTTCAATAATGTCAAGGGGTGTGTATTGGATTCGCCACTAGTGTATTTTTGGAAAATCCAACACGAATACGACATCGAAAGTGAAGAGTCCCCGCATCTTAGTCCTCTACAAGTCTTTTTTTCCCCTCTTAATCATCATGTTTCCTTTTATTACTGGCCCACCTAATCCGAATGAAGAAAAGATTATCTATATTTTATTTATTTTATATAGATAGACTTCCTATGATTTTTTAACTAATCTCCTATGAAAATGTTTATATAATTAAAATAATATTTATAGTGAACAATTAAATCAAATCTTTTTTAGAGTTTTATTTTGATTTTTTAAAATTATATTTGAGTTTTTATTTTTTTATTGAAAGACAATTAAAATATTATCATAATTGCTTTTATATTTTTTTCTGAATATAAATCCCTAGGTTATTTTTTATTTAGAGGAAAGAATTTAACTTCTATAAATGTAAGTTATTCTTTTCATACGAACACAATAATATCTATACGATAGTGTCATTAAAAGAGTATTGTTTAGGAGATATCTTCTCTCTCCATTTTATGTATTTTACATTAGCTTTTATAATATGTAGGTTATTTGATTAAATTATATTAAATATTATGTTTTTTAATATGATTCTTTTTGTTATCTAATTTATAATTATTAGCTTTCATGAGACATCTGATTAGATTCGTTATAAATATATGATGGAAGGGATGAAATTTTTCCACCATAAACAAGAGAAATCCATTTTTATCATATTATATTATATGGAATCAATAAATATTTAATTCTTTTTTGAATGTGGAATTACTTCTACTATTTAACCAGATGTACAAAAGCATTCATTGCGATATGATTTTTGGAATTGAAGTTTATTATCAAAAATGATTATTTAGTTTTGTCCTTTGTCCTATTTTTCCTAAATTTAATGATTAAAAAAAAACAATTTTTTGTGGTGCCATAAAAACTCTCAATGGGCATGGCCCGACCCTATTCCAGGGACCCGCTTCCCTTGTCTAAATATCCTTCATCTTTCGAGATATTTTATTTTAGTTTTCACATGTTATTCGATTTTTCCATTCGACTAGATAAAATTTGAAAATTCTTGATGGGAGCGTTTCCTTCCTAATAAAATTCTATAGTGTGTGAATTTGCACTAATCAGACTTTAATGAGAATATCCAATATCGAAGTTGAAACCAAGAAAGAAAGATTAAATTATGAAAAACTTCACCCATAGAGTTCATGAAATTCATAATATTTATGTCTAATCAATAGTTGAACTTACTTTTAAGTTGGGAGTCTTAATATTTAGCTAGTGCTGAAATTATAATGTTATGAATAACTTTTTCCGTCTTAATTTACATAGAAGTTTAAGAAAGTAAAAAATAATAATTTGATTTTTAAAACTTATGATCGAAAATAAGTCATAGATATTTGTGTGACTATAAATCATCTCAGTAAGGATTTAATGAGCAATTTAAAATTAAATTATTACTAAGTATATAAATGTATTGTTGTAAAATTAACTAAAAAGAAAAGTGTATCACATCAACCGAGAGAAAGTAAAGTTTTCCTAAGAAAAAATTGCATATATATGCACCTCACATTCCTTTTATAAGTTAAAGAATTACACTTATATAAATGCCATCATTATTGTTAATTTCATCCATTCTTAATTTTATTTTATATGTATTCTAGCTTTGATTTTGCATAAACATGCTTATTATTATGTCAAATTCTTATATTTTAATCAAAATTTCAGAATTAATCAGTTATATGTAGGGTATGATAAATCTCTCTATTCAACTGTTCTCAACGATTGCAAAGTTTATAGTGATTGTCAACCTACCATAATAATTATTGATTTAGAGTTTGAAAATAAATGTATTTTGCATAAATCATATAATTAGAGGAGCATAAATTCAAGCTCCAATTAAAACAATATTTAATTTCTGTCAAAAAAAAGGAATTTTTTCATATCATAAATTCATAACAATGATGTGCTTAGGCAAAGGAGGGTGTTTGAATCAATTAGTTTCAATTAATGGTAGCTACCAATCTACACCTCTTTATCATAGAATTATTGGTTGTACTAGACCCTTGGATAGTGACAACAACAAACTTTCACGAAGACTTTCTTTCTTCTTTTACGATCTGAGGTGTCTGATATTCGTATTGGAATTTCCAGAAAGAAATAACAGATTCGTATCAAAGTTTCTCAGAAAAATTTGAATCTTTCATCTATTTTTGAATCGTTACTCGGGATGTCTCGGCTAATGCTTTCAACTTTCAAAGTTTGATCTCAAGTGTTCGTTTGATTTTTTTACTCAATTTTTAAACTAAAATTTTATATAATAATATGGATGTTAATAGACTCATATATCCACGTAGAGTAAGATTTTGATTAATCTCATTCTGGTTGTTTTAATTGGAGAGAAGTATTTATCTAAAAAATTTATTATCATCTCATCTATGTGAGCATTGAATCTGATGGTAGACGGTTGACGATACAATCGATTTTTCACCCAATTCTTTGCATTATATATCCTTGAAGGAAAAGGAGAATGCTCTTTAAAATATGATATCATCAAACACTTCATTATATTCATATTCAAAACATCTAATTAAGTGTAAAGAAATCTTATGCATCACATCACGATACTTTATTGATCAAGATAGACTAAGTCATAAGTCAAAGAACTTTAATGCTAAGTATAAACAAGACAAACAAGTAGAATACTAGTAGTAAGTAAGGAGTAATAATACATCAATATATGAAGTGTTTTGATTTCAGAGCCCCACTTTTGACTTTTAGCATGATCACTTACTAACATCCATGCAAAATGGTATATAATATAAGATTCAATAATAATAATAATAATATCTTATGTTATATACAAAACAAGTTGGAATTTAATAATTTAGAGTATAGTTAAGCGCAGGACCAGGGAAATGGTTTGGCTTTATTGTTTTGTACATAAGCACCGACTGACAGATACAACTACACCATGTTACCTTAATGCCACATTTGACACTTCACTTTCTCATTTAATTTTTTTCTAAAGCCTTTTCTCCACACATCTTTTTGATATTTGTGATGGTGGATCGTTTATGTGTATTTTGATTAATTTTATGAGATTATTTTTTAGTTATGTATATATATCGAGTATTTTATAGTATGTGAATTGTTTATGTATGATTAATTTTATGAGGTTATTTTTCAGTTGTATATCATATATGTATAGAGTATTTTATATTGTGTGGAATGTTTGAATGTATTTCGATTGATTTTATGAGGTTATTTTCTAGTTGTATGTGTATAGAGTATTTTTGCTTTTTAAGGCTTGAATATATAAGGAAAAATGATTACGAAATTTTGCCTTTATTGTATTTTGAATTTGAGACCTTATGTCCACCTTATTCGGTACTAGATCACACTTGTCGGTGCTCTATCAAATATTTTTACTAGAAATATGCGTATTTTCGAATAAATTGAATTGAAATGTGTTTGTTAAAACACAATAGAATTCATCGAAAATATGCTATCTTCTTTCTTTTTTAGTTTGTTCAATAAAGAATGATATCATTATGTATTTAATATTTAGAGCTTGTTTGAATTGATTGCTTATAAGTCAAAAATTTGTCTATCTAAATATGTTCTTACTTTAACTTCAAATTTTTTATTTTATTTTTAATGAGATGAATTATATTCACAAAATTTTTATAGCTTTCCAAAAGTTCTCAATTTTCACTAAAGTTCAATCAAACACCTTCGTATGATTGTGACGAAAAGAATATTATCGTTTAGCTAATGTGATAAAAATAAAAATAATTTGTACGACTCTTTTAATTCAAGAACAAATTATCCAAAAAATTATATCTCAAAATTATTATCTCACTATATCATTACGATCTCAAAATAACTTATCCCAAAATAAGGTATTCCAATTAAACATGAGATATTACATGTTATGTATACTCAATAATAGTCCATGAAAATTATACTCTTTTCACTTCTCTCTATCTCACCTTCTGCACATTCTTTTCTACCAAATGTGATGAAGTTATATGGAATTCTTGTCACAAAAATTGTACAACTAGACTAGCTATAGACAAACACATCTGTACTCCATTATTTAATCTCATCATTTAAAAATCCCTTTTCTCTATGTATCATTACTCACTCTATTATAGATTCTTGAATTATTTCATTCCTCACTTCTCTTTAATCACTTCAAAAAAACAAAAAAAGTGCTCACTCTTTTGTGAGCTCAAAAGAGTTTTTTGGGATTTTGAGTCTTTTAGCTATGAAGGGTTTCTTGTTTCTTGGTTTGTTTTTGTTTTTTCTAGTTCCATTTTCATCATCTCAGTTAGTTCCTGCAGAAAGTAGAATCCTTTTTCAAATTCAACAGTTTCTTGAAAATCCACCTGTTCTTCAAGAATGGAATAAATGGACAAATTTTTGTTTTCTCCCACAATCTCCTTCTCTTGTTATCACTTGTTCTGGTAATCATATAACTGAGTTAACAATTGTTGGTAACAAAAAATCCCCTTTTGAGTCTTTAAAATCCTCTTCTCCACAAGCCCTTTCTGGGAAATTTTCAATTGATTCATTTTTCACTGTTGTTACTAAGCTTTCTAGTTTAAAAAAGTTGTCTTTAGTTTCTCTTGGTTTGTGGGGTTCATTGCCTGCTAAGATTAGTAGGCTACATTCACTTGAGGTACTTAATATAACTTCAAATTTCATTCTTGGTGAGATTCCATCATCTATAGTGAATTTCAAGAACCTGAAATCTCTTGTTTTGGCTAGAAATTTGCTTAATGGAAGTGTACCAGATCTGAAAGGGTTAAAAATACTTGAAGAGTTGGATTTGAGTGGTAATAATTTAGGACCAAAGTTTCCATCTTTAGGTGATAACAACAACAATCTTGTTTCACTGAATTTGAGTAACAATATCTTTAGATCAGAAATACCTAATGGACTCAACAAGTTTACTCATTTGCAAAATCTTGATTTGTCTTCTAACAAACTTGTTGGTCCAATGCCTGCTTTCCTGTTTTCACTTCCAGCAATTCAGTCTATTAGTATTGCTAAGAATCAGCTTAGTGGTGCTCTTCCAGGAAGTGTGTCTTGTAGCAACAATCTAAAATTTGTCGATTTTTCGAGTAATTTATTGATGGGAAAGTTGCCTGCTTGTCTTGGATCAAGTTCAAGTTCAAGAAACAGGACAGTGATTAATGTTTGGAATTGTTTGTCAAGTACTAGTACTAAGTCTCAACATCCACATACATTTTGTGAGAAACAAGCTATAGCTGTTAAGCCCCCTCCAAGAACTAGTGATGAGAAGGAACAATCCACAGTTAAGCTTGGTGTTGTCTTAGGACTCATTGCTGGAATTGTTGTAGTTGTGGGTGCAGTTGGTTTCCTGATCTTTTTCATTGTCAAGAAAGTTGTGAGAAATAGAGATCAAGGATATAAAAATGACAGCTTTGCTTTTGAGAAGAATTCAACCCTTTCCAAAACTGCTGATGGAGGTAAATTTCCTTAATGATTAGGGTCTATCGGAAACAGTTTCTCTACGTGTCAAGGTAGGGGTAAGGTCTGTGTACACTCCCCCACTAGACCCCACACTGTGTATGTTGAATCTTGAATAGTGATAGGGGTCTATTGGAAACAACCTCTCTACCTCCCGAGGTAGGGGTAAGGTCTGTGTACACTCTATCCTCTCCAAACCCCACTTGTGGAATTACGCGGGGTTTGTTGTTGAATCATGAATAGTGATAGTGCATCATTATGACAATTTTATTGATAACTTGATTTAATCAGGGAATGCAAGGAGGACAATGAGGATGGTATCATTAGGACTTCCACCATATCATGTTTTCACTTTAGAGGAAATGGAAGAAGCAACAAACAGTTTTGATCCAACTAATCTGGTTGGAGAAGGTTCCCAGGGTCAGGTAAAAATGTTGATTCATTATAAATAGCAAAAAAAATGATATTTATTACTATATCCTGTCCATATTATTCGTCATTTTGGACGCCGAACAATTCCATTCTAGTCAAATACATAATCTACATGAGTATACAAGTCCGTAGATACTCATATTGCTATACTTCTAGTCTAGACCCAAAAAGTCACCCTAAAAGTCAACCTGAACAACACTTGACATTTTAGAAAAACTAAAGATAGTAATATGGATATGCTTTTCTTAAATCTTGGTGAATACAAACTTGTGTTTTGAACATTGGGATTGATGTTATTATTAATGACAGCTATATAGAGGTTGGCTTAGAGATGGATCAGTGGTCCTAGTGAAATGTCTGAAATTGAAGCAGAAGCATTCACCTCAAATTCTGCAGCAGCACATGGAGATGATATCAAAGCTAAGGCATCGACATTTAGTAAGTGTACTTGGACACTGTGTTGTTACTTACCAAGATCATCCAAATACAGCTAGCACTGTATTTATTGTGCTTGAAAACGTCGTCAATGGATCACTAAAGGATCATCTTAGTGGTAAGCTATTACGAGTTGATTTCTCTCATGGCCACTCAACTAATAGTTATTACCTCAAAAGTCACTTTCGAAAAGGTGACTTTTGAGATAATGACTATTAGTTGAGTTACTATCTAATAGTCATTACTTTCTTCAGTCGGAACGATGAAGGACTGAATTTTATATTCCGGGATTCGTTCTTTGGCAGATTGGAGGAAAAGGGATGTATTGAAATGGCCACAAAGAATGGGAATAACGATGGGCATTGCAAAAGGAATTCAGTATTTGCACACTGGAGGAGTCACTGGAAATGATATAAAGCTTGAGAATGTTTTGTTGGATGAAACTCTTACTGCTAGAATAAGCAGCTACAATATATCGTTGCCACCTAAGGTAATGCGATTAAATCACTATACGTAAATCTTGCAGAAACTGTATTTTTGACCATCTAAATTTTTACAGGTTGGTTCGGAAAGTCCTCTTGCTGGACCCGACCATTTTACCAGGTATTATTCTGCAGCTACATTCACCTTACTTTCTCTATTTCGTGCTATCATTTCTGAATTGTCTGCTAATATAAACTTCATATTCAGCGCGAAAGAAGCAGAAAAGGAAGACATTTATCAGTTGGGAGTTATTCTACTAGAAGTTATTATTGGTAGACCAATCAACTCTCGAAGCGAAGCAGAGGACCTTAAGCTTCAGGTATCAATAACAATATCCTAATAACTCTCAAACGATAGAAATATATCATATCGTCACTCAACTAATAGTAATTATTTCAGAAAGTCACCTTTCTTCTTGATTCAGATGTTCTTCTGAAATAATAACGATTTGTTGAGTGACCATATGAGAAATCAACTCGAGAAATAAGAGATATGCGATAAAGAAATTAGAAGAATGCACACGAATACAAATGTCTTACATGATATGAAGCAATACACATGTTTACATATTGCATAAGAGTCTAGTCTATTTACACAATCTATCTAACAACCTTGAACCAAATTGCCTTTTATGACATTCAGGTGGAGACTGCCTTAGCGGAATCACCATCAAAGCTACGAGATTTAACAGATCCTTGTATACGAGGTACATTTGCATATGACTCATTGAAAACGACAGTCCAGATAGCAATAAACTGCCTTGAAAAAGAACCAAGCAGGCGGCCATCAGTCGAAGATGTTCTCTGGCATATGCAATACTCAATTCAGGTTCAAGAAGGAACAACCAACAGTGGAAACCTCAGTGGGAACCAAAGTGGGAAACTTAGTGGAAAAATAAGTGGAAATCTTAATAATAAGTTGTACTGATAAGAGAGAACTGTCATTATATTGTTATATCTTGTTGTTTAGTCATTTGTATGCATCTTGTATAGCATAGTTCAGTAACTTACTGAATAAATGTTTTTGCGTTCTACATCACAAAAAAAATGTACCCAAGTTTACAATACAAAGCAAATTTTCATGGAAGTTGAGAATCTCGGGGATCTCGCGAAAAACTTATCAACACCCGGTGTTTACATCAACTCAATGAAGACATAAAATGTATCTTCATGTGCTTTGTTATGTCTAAGTCCTTCAAAATAAGTAACTAGCGGAAGATATAACTAAAGTAAATAACAATGCAGTCTCTACAGTCATGATATGATTCAATATCGTATCAGAGCAGGCAAAAATCATCGGTTCATATCTCACCACCAGAAATTTTCATGTGCGCTTGGCACATTATAAGACCTTTACACGTGAGGGGGCGTGTTGAGGATATAATAAAGTAAACACTAAAAGTATGTCTCTCCAACAATTGAAACTTCTAGATGAAATGCTCACAACATACCTTTGTTGACTCAAAGGGTACTTCTTGAAGTATAACTTCGCCTTTCCTATACCATTTTCAGCAGCCACGCCTGCCACGGTGGCTGCATGCAACAGCAGAATCTGCTGTTCATCGTTGGTGCTCCAAGAGCACCGACATCAATTACCAATTCCAGCCACAACAGCTGAATTGGCTGATCAGGCTGCTGCTTCTATCTCTGCATTCTCCAGCACCCAAAGAACAATAGCAGAGTAGTCAAGTATTCCCAAGTATCTTTCTCTCCAGCCATTACTTTGTCGACACTACTAAAAAATCACTATTTTCTCCAAGAAATTTCTCACTGATATTTTGATTAAATCGGTGAGAAAAGAGTAATGTTTTCGTACAAAAAAACTAGAAAGTTTACCACTATTTCATTGAGAATCTGTTTCCCACCATGCATATTCCCAGTGAACTGATTTGGTGGAAATGAGTGAAAAACATGTTCTATAACACAAATTTCTCACTAATTCACCGTGGAAAAAATCTATTACTACTACTCATCATTAGTACTTCATCCGTTTCATCTTATGTTGAACTTGATTGATTAGGCGCGGCTAAGAGCAACATGGGAAGTCTTAAAGTTCAATTTTTTCCAAATATAGAAAAAGACCCTTTTTATAACGTACTAAAAAGAAAATAGTGTCGTATAAATGCAATTATTAAGGATTCCTATAAGAAATGATCATGGTTGATAAAGAAATCTCTTTCGCGAAAAAATTATACTGTACATATAAAATAAAAACAAAAATATTCTTATACACGTATACATTGTTGATTTCCTTTAATATAAAAGAAGATTCTACTTTAATGTACAAAAAGTAGTCCAAAATTCATTTTAGGTCACATGATCAAATCCTAAGTGTGACACTTTTGCATTTTTTGGAATCCATTCGTCATCAAAATTTCTGACTCCGCCACTCTACTCGTTGATCGTATTTTGATTGTTCTTGGAAGTAATAAAAGGCTGATTAGAATAACATGGCCTCCCTAGATATGAAGAAGGTCCAATTTCACTTTTGAAATTATTACACAATGTAGAGTAGGAATTGAAGGATGATGAAGAAAAATTAGTACTTGATGAGTTTGTAGTGAAATCAAGAGTAATTGTGGGGTGTGATTGAGAAGTGGAAATTGAAGTTTTTGGCAAGTGATGAAAAGTTGGTGCATTATTATGTGTGGCTAATAATAAGTTATTATTGGTAAAGTTGAATTTTCCATGAAGATTTTGATCAATATTTGGTAAAAATTGTTGTGATGTTGATGATGTTGAGGTGCATCTTAACATAGAGGCTGCTGCGGAGGTTGTAGAAGCCATGGCGGTTGCGGAAAATGGAAGGGGGTGATTATGTGTTCCTTCGTATGTGGTGGTCAAAATGGACATGTCTTTAGAACATCTTTGAACCTATCGTGAATCACAAAACATGAAAAGAAAGGTCAAAAATAGGCGTTTTATCTGTTTGGACGTGAATTTCACTTAAAAAAATAACTGAAAATTTGTGATTGGAATGAAATAAAAAAGTTGTGTAGTTTGAAAAACTTCTCAATATCCAAACTTAAAATTCTTTATTTCAAGTTGGAAGTTCAAAATATGAACCAATTTGATAACAAGAGACCAAAACAAATCAATTTTTTTTTTTAAATAAAATAATTGTATGGACAATTTCATGATTATACACCTCTAACTAATGGAAAATTTATATATACTGACGGTATAAAAAAAATAATTATTAAAAAAAGTTATCGTACTTTTCTACTTATTCTTTTTCTTATTATTATTACGTAAGGGTAGGGGAAGGGAAAATGACGGAGGGAATTACAAGGTTAATTAAAAATCAAATGCTCACCAACAACGTAAAAGTTCAAGTATAGCTAACCAACTAATCGAGCTACTAACTAGTAGTACCTGTTTTCTGACTGGGCATGATGGGGAGACAGTGCAACGATAGTAAGCCCTAGGGCATGGATTCCCTTTGGCTATTTTTTGTCCATATTTTCTCCATTGGCATCCATCATTCATCTGCATTTGCAAATCTATTATATCGAGGTGTGTTTTAATATAAAGAAAATGATAATTTAGGTAGATAAATAGATCAATGAATAATTATAGCAAAACTCGTAAAAATATGATAGTTCAGATGTGGTTATGACAGTTAACCCTTGAACTTACCGTAGTAGTGCCACACACCGCTCTTATAGATACCCTAGCCTTCTTTTGAGGAATTTGCTGCAAAAAATCTTCATCACAATAATCTATTTTTGATGGAGGATAATTTTGTACCAATACTGGTCGTTCATTATTTATATTCTCCTTCTTTAACTCCTCAAAACTATTTTCTTGAGTGAATTTACAATCTAATCCAAGCTCAAGTCCATCAAATAATAATTTACTATGCTTTTTATTACTTTTATTTTGATCATCATATAATAACTCCTTCTTGATCAACTCTCTTGAAGTACTACTACTTCTCCCTAAGCTCAAAGAAACAAGTTCCACTTGTTCTTTTTCTTCATGAATATTATTACTTGTTGCAATAATATTATTCTTTGAATTTTTTTGAGTTAATATGCCTTGAAAATGCATTTGCAAAGATTTATAATCCTTCACCATTTTAGATAGCATCCTCTTTAGCCTTTCATTTTCTTCTTTGGCTTCATATATCTCACTTTTTGTTGAATTTAACTTATCTTCATCCTGATCATAATAAAAACATGTACACAAGTTATAGGCATTGCATTGTACTCGGGACTCGAGAGTCAAACTTCTAATTTTGATCGTAAAATAATACTATAAGTCATAAATATTGACAATAAGACATATATATATATATATTAAAAAAAAAATCATGGTCAAAGAAAAACTCGTTTGACTTTTGAAATCTGAAAGATGTCACATAAATTGGGACGATTATACACCTGATTCTACTTGTAGGTTAAGCAAGAGTTAAATCTCTATTTTTGATCATAATAACAAAACCATTAAACTACTTACTTATAATATCCCGTCGCAAATTAAAGTCTTTAATTAGTTCATAAAATTCTTAATTAATTAAGATGAATTGTTGATCAAAGATCTTAAAACCTCCCACAAATTGGTTGCGGTTAATTATTTGAGTTTTTTTTTTTGGAACCAAATTTGTAATTAATGAATTAATCCTGTAATTTATGCATATGAACAAAAGAAGAAACATATGACAATAACTGAAAATTATACGGTATGAATATTTTTAGGCTGCTACAATAATATTTTTACATAGAACATATAATAGTACAACATAACATGAAAATCAATTCCAAAGAAAATATAGCTATCATAATGAACTGTTATAGAGAGATTTAACTGTATAAAAACGATTATTCATATAACAAGAACTAAAACACGATTTTTTTAATGAAAAATAAAGATCTTTATAGTAAAATTTCAATATAATTTTTACCTTCTTAGTAGAATCCATTGCTCTATCTTTCCTTAGCATGGTTTAATCTCTCTTTTTTTTAAGCATCTGCAAAATTTTCTTCTCTTTGGACAAGTCTTCTTATAGGACATGAGACACTATAAAAAAATTTAATTATAAAAAGGGTAGATGGAAAAATATATATAAAAGTCTAAATTAGAGTTGTTAACATTGACATGCATGTTACACATGACCCTCTATAAATAATATATGTCAACTAGTCAACTAACCTATTTTTTCAACTCTTTTCTTTATCATCCATGCAAATTAATTCAAATGGAAAATTAATTTTTTTTAAAAAAATTCTAACTTCAACGCTTTGGATAGAGACAAGACAAAATTTTATTTGCCGTCATTTTGGAGCGTAGTTAGAAGGTTATGTACCGTTTAATCGAATTTAAGTTGTTTTAGTTTAAATTTTATATTTGTATAAAAAATTCATTAAATATATACAAAACATAAATTCAAAATTGAGAAGTCCTCATGTTGTATCCCTCATTTAGAAGAGGAGCCTTATAGCAACGATAAAGTTGTGTTTATATAATCTATTTATAAACTATCAAAGGTCCGTAAGTAAAAACAACCACTAGTGGTCACCATCATGGCCATTAGCAGTGGTGGAGTCAGGATTTTCAATAAGGGGTTTGAAATCTGAAAAAATAGATACACGAAGTAGCCGAAAGAGGGTTCGACATCTACTATATATACCTAAAAAATTAATTTAACCATGTATAAATCATATAATTTAACCATGTATCCGTCTTTGCCACCATCCTAAGGTTGTTTTGAACAACCACTCTTGATGGAAAAATTCACACACAAATGGATGTCACTCCAACGACCTCTTATTAATTTCCGTCAAAATCAACTACCCCCTCTTCTTGACTACATGCATGGCGTCTCTTAAAAGTCATTTTTTTTTCCATATAAATAGCATTAAAAAAAACAAAAAATCTATCTCAATTTATGTGCTACAATTTGACGTGACATAAGTTTAAGAAGAAAAAAAGAAAGACTCTTGAAATTTACGATTTAAAATACACTTCTCGACCATTTGTATGACTAGCTATAAGATATTTCATTAATGTAAAAGAAGAATTTTGAAATTAAATTGTTTTCAACTATAGAAAGCTAACATTCTTTTTAGAACAGACTAAAAAGAAAATATGTCACATAAATTGAGATAGATAAAGTAATTAGTGTCTTTTCGTGTTTGGTAAGTTATCTTATTAAGCTAACAAGTCATGTTATCTTTCACTCCTGAAATGAGCCTTTTGGCGACTCTTGAACAATAATAGGTAGACCAAAAATTTATATAGTTGTTACGTTTGTTTTGTGCACTGACATAGCAGAATTCGAATTCCTTAGCTCAGATGAGTCACTCTTGACTTTATAAACATATACTATATATATATTTAGTAACTATATTTTTTCGGATCAATTAGCAAATCGAATAGTATTTTGATGAAATTTGTGAGTATTGAATATATAAATAATTATGTTGAGTGCTACTTGGAGCGAATAATAATATGGAATAAAAAGTTAGAATAGTCGTAAGGAAAATAATTTTCGTGCAAGTGAGATTAGTCATTTGTTTCCTCTTGGTGGAAAATATTCCTTCGATAACATTTACATAATCAAATCTCAGAAAATGACTTTATCATGAAAAATATATTAATTCCTAATTAAAACAAATACTACAATTATCATAATTATTCATAGCAAACCAAACACACCATTAGCTGGAAGATTGAGAATTTTTTTCCCACCAAATCTGCCGTTGGAGCTCTGACTAAATCCAAATCGTGCATTTAGATATATTCTTAAAAGGTTCAAATGACAATATGGTTGGCTGGATGAGTCAATTAATTTAGTTCAATGCATGATATATGGACTATTATGAAAGTTGAAGTCCTAAAACTATATTGTCGTCGAAAACTTAGTAAATAAATTTCTCCTTTTATACCTTTCACATGACAAAAAAAAAATTAATATTTTTAAAATATATTTGTTATAATTTCCAACCTAATGTAGTGCTTGATATATGATACGAGGTTGATAAATTCTACATTTTGTCAAAAAAGAAGAAGAAAAAACTAGGTCTTTATTGTTTGTGTTTATCTTTATATATATGTTGTTTATGTTTATCTCTTGACTCTCGTCTTTTAAGATTAGGTTATTATTTGGATATATACTTTAAGAGACTAGTAGTTTGATTTATACACTTTGACTAAAAAAAAAGTTTGATTTATACACATCTTTTAAGTAATGTACAAAGAAAATCAATAAATCGCAGCAAATTGATAATCCAAATTAAGTCAGAAAAGAAAAATCGACTTTTGATTTAGTTTGATTTCGAGCCTAATCAATTTATAATTTTTTTTTATGTAATTCATGAATTTTGTTAAACCTTTTTATAGTTATTTTATCTTTTGCGTAACGTATTATTTCAAATTTGGACTTAAAATTTTGAATGATCGAATAAGTTTTATAGCTCATAGGTTCATATTATTAACCTAAATAAATATTAATGCTAGAAAAAAGAAATAACTTATAGTTGTATTATTTTATTAATTAAGAAATACTTTAGATAGTTATGTTAATTACTAGGATTAAAGAAATATTACTATATCATATAATATAATAAAATATAATGTAATATATAACGAACAATATGTAACAATCATTCAAAGAGAGACTAAAAAATTATTAAGATACGTAGATTAGGTAGAATTTGTTTGGATTAGTAATTAAATAAATCACTGGTCGTTCAATATTAATCAGAGTGGGTTAACAGATGCTGATTTAGTAAAACAGAAATATTGTTATATTTAATCAGCATGACTTTTTCTTAATTATATTATTGAGACCTAAGCATGTTTATTTAAAACTTATTCAAAGATTTTTTTTCAATTAAATATTAATCCCCTACTTTTGTTGCATTATTACGTAGGTTCTTTGCACATTTAATTTATTAGTGTACTTTATTGTAAGTCATGACTAATTAGGACTAAAAGAGTGTTACAAATCATGAAAAAATCATATATTTTTTACTTGATTATTTTTGGAATCATCAATTAGTAAAGGTAAAAAGTTCGATAGCTGAATTATTTTTAAGTTTATCTTAAAAGAAGATTAAATTCTTTAAACGATGTCCGATATGCATTTAGGCTACACATTTTTGCCAAAAAGTCTTATATTAAGAAATAAAACACTTTTTAATAAAGGCGATTCACTCTATACAAAAAACTCGAACCTGAAATCTAAAATCTTCGAATATCTATTTAATCATTATTATATGCATATTTTTTTTGAAATATATATACGTGTGTAATTATGTACTACCTCCGTCCACTTTTAATTGTCATAGTTTCCTTTTTTAGAGTCAAATTATAATAACTTTGACTAACGTTTTACGATGTATAGTTTTTGAATATCTAAATTTTTTGTTTAAAATATCGAATTACTGTAATCTAATTAATTTTTTGAAATTAAATTATTTTCAACTATAGAAAGCTAACATTCTTTTTAGAACAGACTAAAAAGAAAAATATGTCACATAAATTGAGATAGATAAAGTAATTAGCGTCTTTTCATGTTTGGTAAGTTATCTTATTAAGCTAACAAGTCATGTTATCTTTCACTCCTGAAATGAGCCTTTTGGCGACTCTTGAACAATAATAGGTAGACCAAAAATTTATATAGTCGCTACGTGCTTGTTTTGTGCACTGACATAGCAGAATTCGAATTTCTTAGCTCAGATGAGTCACTCTTGACTTTATAAACATATACTATATGGTTAGTAAATATATTTTTTCGGATATATTAGCAAATCGAATAGTATTTTGATGAAATTTTTGAGTATTGAATATATGAATAATTATGTTGAGTGTTACTTGGAGCAAATAATAATCTGGAATTAAAAGTTAGAATAATCGTAAGGAAAATAATTTTCGTGCAAGTGAGATTAGTCATTTGTTTCCTATTGGTGGAAAATATTTTCCTTACATAACATTGACATAATCAAATCTCAGAAAATGACTTTATCATGAAAAATATATATATTAATTCCTAAAAAAATTACTACTATTATCATAATTATTCATACCAAAACCAAACACACCATTAGCTGGAAGATTAAGATTCTCTATTTTTCTTTTTTTGGTTTTTCTTGTGAGTTGAAATTTCGATTAAATCCAGATCGCGCATTTGAAATATTCTTAAAAGGTTCAAATGCCATATGGTTGGCTGGATGAGTCAATTAATTCAGTTCAATGCATGATATATATATGGACTATTATGAAAGTCGAAGTCCTAAAACTATATTGTCGTTTAAAACTTAGTAAATAAATTTCTCCCTTTTATACCTTTCACATGACAAAAAAAAATAAAAAAAATTGTAAAATATATTTGTTATAATTTCTAGCTAATGTAGTGCTTGATATATGATACGAGGTTGATAAATTCTACATTTTGTCAAAAAAGAAAAGAAAAAACTAGGTCTTTATTGTTTGTGTTTATCTTTATGTTGTTTATGTTTAACTCTTGACTCTGTCTTTTAAGATTAGGTTATTATTTGGATATATACTTTAAGAGACTACCTAGTAGTTTGATTTGTACACTTTGACTAAAAAAAAGCTTGATTTATTCACATCTTTTAAGTAATGTACAAAGAAAATCGATAAATCGCAGCAAATTGATAATCCAAGTTAAGTTAGAAAAGAAAAATCGATCTTTGATTTGGTTTGATAATAGTAAAAAAAATCAATCATAATTAGTTTGATTTGATTTGTACTAAGAAAAGTCAAATCAAATCAAATCAATCCGATAGTATATGCATATAATTTTATAAATATTTTATGTAATTCATGAATTTTGTTAAACCTTTTTGTAGTTATTTTTATCTTTTGAGTAACGTATTATATCAAATTTGGGCTTAGAATTTTGAATGATCGAATAAGTTTTATAGCTCATAGGTTCATATTATTAACCTAAATAAATATTAATGCTAGAAAAAAGAAATAACTTATAGTTGTATTATTTTATTAATTAAGAAATACTTT